TTTATACCACTGCCCCACACCGTCCGGGGGGGGGAAGGCTCCGGTTAATCAGCAGACTCAAGACGCAAATGCCTCAAATTGGATATTACAGAGAAAAAGCAATGAAAAATCCCCCAGAATCACTTTGCTGTTCCAGCACTCGATTCAGGTAGACTGTTGTAGCTGAGTAACCAAACCTGCAAATGAAGCCGAGATTCAGCTCCCAAAAACTAGTCAGAAAACAAAGCAAGCTCCTAGGCAAACTTAGAAGAAGTGAGGAAAAAGTCCTTCTGTGATATGTAGCATGAAAACAAACATTCAGGGGAAATATGTATTTTTCCAGTGGGGGGTGAGGGGAATCTCCTTTGTGTCTCTGCCCTCTGAGTGAAGCCAGTAGCTGGCTTTCTAATTTTATTTATTATGTATTCTTGTCAGACCTTTTTTGTCATTTCAGGGAGCACTGCTTTTAGATACGGGAGCGGAGTGCGGCAGAACCTTCCATTACATTCAGCTGTTAAAGAATTTTCCCCTTCTGGGGGTGAATTTCTCTGTAAACTACAATTCAGCCCTAAGTCATGGCTTTTTTTTAAAAAAAGAGTTTTTTTTGTGGCTCAGATGGATGAAAGACCAGGCCACATGTCCCAGGGGCAAATCTTTAATAGGCACCACCGTTCTGCCAGCCTTGATAGGAGGAGGAAAGAAACCCTGTTTAAACATTCTAAAACTGTCTTCCTGAATTGGCACCTTTCAGACATTATAGGGATTACAAATTCCATTATCCCTATTCATGGCTGTGCCAGCTGGGGATAATAGGGGTTGTTGCTCATTATACATAAAAGGCAGCTGGGTTACACAATCGGAGCAGATTTGAATTCCTCCCTCGAATGAATGCTCATCCTCCTTTCTTTGCCTTTTGGAAGAACAGTCAAACCCTGTTATATTCCATCAGACTTTTAATAACAAATTGCTTTTCTAAATTGCATTCAGGCCCCATGTCTGTTGATTTGCATTTGGGCTTTGTCTGCATTTGGTTTATTCTCAGTTGCTATTTTTCTCTCCTGATATATATATATATTTTCCTTGTTTTACTGTTTCTGATTAGTTTTGAGTTTTACCCTGCTCCTTTGCGGTTGTTTCTTACTTTTTATGCGTTACTTTGAAAGAGGCCTGTAAGCAAACGGCGTTATTGTTAGTTTGTAGCTCACCTAGCAAACTTTTCGCGTTGTTTGCGTTCATTTTTGACTTCCCATGGAGTGGATTCAAGCCAAGATCTTGCCAGCAGGCTCTGGTTTCTGCAGGTGCTTCTAGGGCACGATTTCAGAACAGCAGTTCTTGCCGTTTAAAAAAATGTCCCTTAAAACGTTGATCTTTAGCAGCTCACCTCTTAACAGCTAAGTTTTGTGTCACTAAACAAGTAGCTTCACTCTCAATTTCCCCAAAACAGCACTGCTTGCTTGCAGTCGGGAAGAGCAGAAATGAAGCAGCTGAGATCTCTGAAGCTCGGCATCTTGAAGTTTCCCCTGCTCTCAGCGCTAAGGAGCAGAATGAAGCAGCTGAGATCTCTGAAGCTCGGCGTCTTCTTCAAGTTCCCCCTGCTCTCAGCGCTAAGGAGCAGGGAAGCTGAGTCCTTGTGAGGAGTTCCTGTTGCTGTCTTAGCAGCTCAGGTCTTGCAATGCTGCTTGTTTTAGTCCTTAGCAGCTCAGGTCTTGCAATGCTGCTTCCTTGTTTTAGTTCACCCAGCATAGCATTGCACGAAGGATCATCAACCGAAAAGTTAAACATTCCGAACGCTGGCACTGAAGCCAGATCCGATGCATGCAGCAACTCTGAAAGGCAGGCATCCGGTCCAAAAAAGTAGAGGTACTTCTCCCACCAGAGGGGAACAAGTGGCTGTTCAGTCCGTCGAGACTCAATCAACAGCAATCAGATTCATTGGGGATGATCTGACAAGACTGGGTTATGTAATGGATCCGGTGGCCGTAATCTTTTCCTCCAGGGGGGGAATGGGGAAGGAAAAGAGAGAGGTGCATTTCCTTCAATTAGTTAAAGTTAAATTAATAAAATATCAGGCATGGTCTGTCTATAAGGTGGCCTCTGATGCATCACTGAAAAAGCAGGCATGCGTCGCCCAAAATGGAAGGCAAAAGAGGGGCACTCACAGGCCTGAAATTAAAAATGTGAATTCATGGTTAGAAATGTTGGAAGGCAAAAGAGGGGCACTCACAGGCCTAAAATTAAAAATGTGAATTTGTGTGTATGGAGACAAGATTAGAAATGGTTTTTCCAATTTCATCCCCAAACATCTGGGCTTCATTCATTGCCTGAAAGATGTGGGGAAGAGGCCGGAGACATGGAACCATCCTAGGATTTAAACCCTTCCCCCTCAATCCCAGTGAGGAACAGGTTTAGTAGGAATTATACCGGCCGCTGGGAAAAGGCATCCTATTCAGTGGGCAGCGAAGGCTGCTTAAATGTTCTGAATGCTAGTAGAGGGAAGGAAAGTGGCCCAGGTGCGCCTCCTTGTGGAACAGGCTGGGATAACAAAAACCAAACCCGGCCGTGAGGTCAGGAAACGGAACGACAACGGAAATAATAATTCTTGCACAGCCACCGCAGGAATAACTGGCAGGCACTTTAAAAAAAATCAAAACATTCTCCTTTCCTATTTTTCTCTCTTCTAGCCCAAATAGAAGTGATCCCCTGCAAAATCTGTGGAGACAAATCATCCGGGATCCACTATGGAGTGATCACCTGTGAAGGATGCAAGGTGAGTCAAAGGTCTTGGGTCTCTGGTTTCTGCTTCACCTGGAATCTGAGGATGTCCACAAACGTGGTGGCTGCCAGGAGATGCAAGAACGATTTTCCGGCTGCTGAGGCAGTTCTGTGGCTGCTGGTCCTACTGTTAGAATCACACCACTGACATTTAGTAGTAATTGGGAAAATAAAAATGAGGATACAGCAACACGCTGCCTCGTTGCCTCGCCCTCTTTTCAGGAGAGTAGCAACTGAGGACTGCCGCTTTGGAGGTGCTGTGGATCCAATCTGGATTTTACTCAGCATGGCACAGGAGAGACCGAAAGGCTGAACTCGAAATTGAGGCTATCCAAGATTCAGCACCTTGGACAACTCCAGAAAAGAGCAGAGGAAAACCTGGAGTGGATCATTCCATTCACTCCAAGTTTTCTTCTGCTCCTTCCTGAATGGATTTTGAGGGAGTTCATTGTATGAGATGGGAGGTGCTATGTGATAACAAAGGATGTGTGGATGTCTGTTGTGTCTATGTTGACACGGCCACTCCGGAATCCATTCCCTTTGGGTCTTCCGCTCCAGGGTTTCTTCCGGCGTAGCCAGCAAGGGAGTGTGACCTATTCCTGCACCCGACAGCAGAACTGCCAGATCGACCGCACGAGCCGTAACCGATGCCAGCACTGCCGACTCCAGAAATGCCTCAGCCTCGGCATGTCCCGGGATGGTAAGATCTGTTGCTGGGCAACAGGGGTGGTTGTCAGAGAGACACGTTACAAGTCTTATTGTTCTGTGCAACTTTTTTTTAAGGCTATAAGGAGGGCATAACCAAAGCATCTTTCAAAAGTAACTACTGGGAATAAAGTTACTTTATTGCAATGAGCAACTTTTCCTAGTTTCCTTCCAAAAGAACCTTTTTAAGGGCATTCTCGGGCATTTGGATCATGTTTTGTGGCATTCCTTTATTAACATTAAAGAAAAAAGCGGCATAAGGGATAACATCATCTCTTTTTTTGCCAGGTAAAGGCAACGGGCTACTTCATTACTCAGATCGCACTGTTGATGAGCAGCAGGCACCAATAACATTTATATTTTGAAGAAGAGATTATATTCTCAGATCTGGTTCACTTTCACTCGGACGTATTTTGGAAAGACTTAAAATCTCCCACTCCCTGCTCTCCTCTGACAATTTAGGAGCCCCCTTTATGAGCTGAAAAACATGGCATTTGTTCCTAATTTAAGAGGGGGGATGGGAGAAAAACTCAGGGTTACACCAGAGGAGTAAAAGGATGACAGGTGGTGCTGAAGAATTTGCCTCAGAATTGCTAATATTCTTAGTTTATTTGAGCGGCATCAGGGTTGCGTTCGAGGTCTTTTTCCACGGCTGTTTCCAATCGGTCCAACCTTGTTCTTTCCTCAGCCGTCAAATTTGGCCGGATGTCCAAGAAGCAGCGGGACAGTCTCCATGCGGAGGTCCAGAAGCAGCTGCAGCAGCAACAGCAGGGAGGCGACGCTTCGGCTTACTCCTTGGGCGTCGCCAACGGGCAACTCAAGCTGGCTGCTTCCCCCGACCTTCTGGAAGCCTCCACCTGCTCCACGGCCCTCTTGAATGGGCAACCCCGCCTCAGCCAGTCGCCAGATGAGACGGCCGCCTTGGCTTACCCCAACGGACTTGCCAAGGCCCAGAGCCTTCTGGGTGAGGACCTCCGGGCCCCCTTTACCAAGGGATACAGCCCCGAGCGCATCAAGATGGAGGGCAGAGGGAGCGTCTATTACGCCTTGGAGACGCAGGCATCGCCCGAGCTCTTGAACCCGGACGCCAGTGGGACGAAGCGACTGGCAGGGGGCGAGGTCGGTGGAGAGAGCCTGGACTTTTACACCACCCCCAGTTTCACCAGCCTCTTAGAGTCGCCAAATTCATCTCTGACCGAAATTGGTGAGTGGTCCCACCCGGAAGAGAGGGGCTGAGGGTTTCCAAAGCTGGTAGAAAAAAAATTCATCTCTGACCGAAATTGGTGAGTGGTTCCCACCCGGAAGTGAGGGGCTGAGGGTTTCCCTCTGGGTTCTACCAAAGCTGGTAGAAAAACTCCACTTCAGGGGAGGTTTTCTCTGTTAAGTCTCCCCCGTTCATCAGTGTTGAGTCAATATACCCCTCATTTTTAACCACTGCGCCACGAGGCTCCACTTCAGGGGAGGGTTTCTCTGTTAAGTCTCCCCCGTTCATCAGTGTTGAGTCAATATACCCCTCATTATAGGGGTCAGCCCCACAAATTGGTTGCAAGAGGACAGAACGGTGTATGATCGGATGGGGGCCTTGAGGTCCCCCAACACGGTGTATCGCCTCTTTAGAATCCTTCAGGGGTGACAATAAGGTGCAACTCAACATAAACACAAAGCTTTTTAATGTTTTAAAAATAAACTCATCCTCCCCCTCCCTAAACATGGACACATTTGGGGTGTTTTCTTCTGGATTTGTTGACTCGGTGGGGCTTGCCTGCGTCCATCTCCAAGGATGGTTGCCAAGGATGAGAAATGGGTTTTCCGAACCCCTGATGCTTTCCCACTGGCAGGTCTAAGGCGACTTTGTAAAGGAGGGTAAGAAAAGGCTGGCCCCAGTAATTTCTGTGGCACAATCACAGAAGGGTGAGGAAAAAAGCAGAAGGAAGGGTGAAGGATAGATGGTTGGTCTGCCTGCTTCTCCTGCTGCTTCCCGGCATCTCCTGTCCAGCAAAGGTAGGGTATAATCCTGACCGCTTTGCCCATTCGCTTTGTCAGAGCACCTCACGCAGAACGTCCTCAAGTCCTATCGGGAGACGTGCCAGCTTCGTCTGGAGGACCTTCAGCTCCTCCGGTGGGAGACGTTCACCAAGGAAGAAGTCGGGAGCTACCAGAAAAAGGTGAGGCATGAGCCCCTAAACTTGGTCCAAAGGATCACCTTCCCACTTCCAGAAAAAGATCCTGTTGCTGAGATTGTCTGTAGCCATGGCTCCCAACCTTGGGTCCCCAGATGTTCCTGGACTTCAACTCCCAGAAGCCTTTTCACTGCTAGCTGTGCTACTCAGAATTCTGGGAGCTTGTAGTCCAAGAATATCTGGGATACCCCAGGTTGGGAACCATTGACGTGTAGGGATCCCATCCTAGCTGCACTATTTCCTTGAGTGCAAGATAGATCATTGGGCCAGAGAACGGTAGACCTCAGGATGAAACTTTCTTTGTGTTTTTTTTAATTCCGTGAATTAATTTATTTAAATTATTAAATGATGCCTTTCTCCCCGTAGAGGACCTAGGGAGGCTTAACAACGGATAGAAACAACTGCCTGACTTGATGGCACATAACAACAAACAGCATTATCTGCCTTTGCCTCTGCCTCTGCCTCTACGCTTGCAACACCCATGGCTCCCAACCTTGGGTCCCCAGATGTTCCTGGACTTCAACTCCCAGAAGCCTTTTCACTGCTAGCTGTGCTACTCAGAATTCTGGGAGCTTGTAGTCCAAGAATATCTGGGATACCCCAGGTTGGGAACCATTGACGTGTAGGGATCCCATCCTAGCTGCACTATTTCCTTGAGTGCAAGATAGATCATTGGGCCAGAGAACGGTAGACCTCAGGATGAAACTTTCTTTGTGTTTTTTTTAATTCCGTGAATTAATTTATTTAAATTATTAAATGATGCCTTTCTCCCCGTAGAGGACCTAGGGAGGCTTAACAACGGATAGAAACAACTGCCTTAAAAGTACTATATAAATGTCATATTTTAAAAGCAATTAAAACATACATTAAGATTAAAATCAAGTTTAAAAACCATTCAAAAATGTTTAGAAGCTGAATGATGTTCTAGGCTATTAACTCCCTTGCATTTATGCATGGATTGTGGCTCAGGTAGCTGCATTCAATTGAGGGTGGTGCCGGATCCTCATTCTTTCATGCTGGAGCATCAGCCATGTCTGTCATTCAGCCACTGTGGGTATTTCCTTGAGTGCAAGATAGATCATTGGCCAGAGAACGGTAGACTTCAGGATTGTAGGGGGAGTTTCATTTGATTCTGTGCAACTCATTCAGACCTATTAAGTAATGGGAAACGCTTCTCTGTGTGTGGGCCCAGGATTGGCAAGCGGTGACTCAGCCGGCCAGACGAGATGGGGGAGAGTGAAATCATTTCGCAGCATCAGCTTGGAGAACACCGAGATAAATAGCTTTGTAGGGGAAGCGTTCCCGACTTTATTTGCAGGAAACTCTGCAAATCTGGTATTATAGAAAACTCATCCCTTTGGGGAGCCGCGAGGATGAAATTTTAGGTTTGGGAAGCTCGTTCGCATGGCTGCCGTTTCCCTGCCAATACTGTAAGAAAATCCTGTTACCTCTTAGAAAGACACTAGTAGGCCTTGAAGACAGTTGAGCTCTTGCCTAGTTGCTCTCCAACAGCTGATCTCTAGCAGTGTGCTGCTTGTTTAGGCTTCATTTCTAAATATCATACAGTAGGATTGCAGTATCCAGTGGGCAGGATTGTTTCCAAGCCCAGCGGATACTGAAAAATGCGGAAATGTCAAACACTATTTATGGCTCCTTCTAGTGGCCAGTTCTCATAAATATACCCTGGAAATATATACAGTATAAATAGGTATTTCAGGAGGGGGAGCTATTTAGTATTTTCAGCCAGTGGATAAGTAGATCAGCGGATACCGATCCCGTGGATATGGTGTCTTGCTGTATTTTCAAAACAGATCTCGGCAACCTGTGACCCTGTGGGTGAGTTAGACTTTAATTACTAGCGGTTCTAGGGTAGGGGTTCCCTAAGGCTGATGAGGTGGTCACGTTGGGCATGACGATGCTTTTTCCACTTCTGTTTCTACCAGTCCATGGAAGAGATGTGGGAACGCTGCGCCTGCCACATCACGGAAGCCATCCAGTACGTGGTGGAGTTCGCCAAGCGGATGTCTGGATTCATGGATCTGTGCCAAAATGATCAGATCGTCCTCCTTAAAGCAGGTGAGACATATTTTAGACAAAAGTACGTTCTTATACATGGAAAAATACGGTATTTCCAGTTCCTGTTCAGGGCATGGAAGGGTGGAGTGAATCTACACAACACACTTACATCAGTTTGAGACCGCTTTAAAGTCTCATGAAAAAAAATGTGTGCAGGAAGAGAGATGCATTTTTTTAAGGTGGTGTCATCCACGGCGACTCCTGAGGGAAGTCAAAATGATCTCCTGGATGGCTGGAGCTGGTCCATTCTTGACCTAGATGGAGAGGGCAATAAGATGAATAAGAATAGGCGCTGTTGTTCAATGGAAGACTGTAGGCCACCGCATGGACAATGGGGCCTCCCTTGTAGACTATACTGACTTGGGAAGTTAGGGCAGGAGACAATACAGTATGCTTTTAAGCAACCCGGGTTTGTTTCTTCGTTTAATCTCCCCTTCTTTCCCTGTCTCCCTCCATCCATGCAGGTGCCATGGAAGTGGTTTTGGTGAGAATGTGCCGTGCCTTCAATTCGGAGAACCGGACCGTCTTCTTCGAAGGCAAATACGCCAGCCCGGAGCTCTTCAAATCCCTTGGTACGAGAACATCGGCCAGGACTGGCCAAAGACAGTTTGGTCCTTGAGAGGGGAGGGCCAGTTGGTACACCATCCCCACCTTGTTCCACTTAGAGAATGCAGCTGGATGGGCAGTTGAATCTTCACCTCCCATGGGACCCTAGCCATGGGACGGTGTAAACATGTCTTCAGGAGAACAGGCTCTAAAGCAGTGCTTCCCAACCTTGTTCCTTAAGGCATTCTTGGTCTACAACTCCTAGAAGCCTTCGCCACTCGCTGCGCTGGCCAGGATTTCTTGGAATTGTAGTCCAAAAACATCCGGGGACCCAAAGTTGGGAACCACTGTTCTAAATTCCTTCTCTAAGACAAGGAATACTATTTCTATTATATAAAAAGTGCCAAAAGCCCTTTTTCCAGTCCGCGAATCAAGTTTCTCCATGTCTCATAGCTGCTACCTGTCCTGCTATTATTCATAATCCTGAAGGTATTTTTTTTCCTGTCTGTTCATGTTTTCTCAGGTTGCAATGAGCTGATCAACTCCATCTTCGACTTCGCACACAGCCTGTCTTCGCTTCACTTCTCTGAGAACGAGATCGCCCTCTTCACAGCACTGGTGCTGATTAACTCAAGTAAGAACCACAGGTTGCCAATTGAGGGTGCAGCGACATTGCGCTATACTCCTCCTCCAGTTACTCTGGGCTTAACACAATTCAGATTGGTTCAAAATTTGCCAACTACCCAGCGTTATTGTAAGCATGGGGGAAGCTTTCACTTTTCTTCGAGGAACTGTTTCTTTTTGAACACACATTAAGAGGTTGTTTATTTTAAAATCACTCTACATTGCACTGTTTTGTGACCCGTTTTTGGTTGTGTGGACAGCCATGTTGTTGTATTCTGTGTGCAAGGGCATTCCCAGTGCTGACGTCTTGGTGCTGTGTTGTATTGTGCTTGAGATGGTGCAGGATTTCCTCATTGGGAAATCATGACTTCTGTCTGCACCGTCTCCCTTTAAAATGTTTTTTAAATAAACTGTTTGACTTTAGCGCTCTATCACATAAGCATTGGAGTCCATCTATGTGCAACATTGACGAAGCACTATAGCGCTTGGAATAAAAAAGGAAAAAATTTAACTTGGACAAGTTGGTTATGGATAAAGACAGAATGCAGGCAGAGTCCAGACACACCCACAGGCAAATCAAAGTGCCAACTAGGTTTTTTTTTTAAAAGCCATTTAAAGAGCAGTGTGTTCCTTTGCACTGAATCAACATGGTCCAACTGAGGCTGTCCCATGAGGTCAGGGACTGCGACACAAGCAAATGACATGAATCCATACAATAACAACTGGACAACAACTCTCAGTTGTTTGGGCAATGTAGTCACACCCTGAGCTTTGTTTAAAGGAATTCATGGAGGACAATGGGAGTTAGGCAGCACTTCCGTTTTGACTTCTTAGTCTTCCCAAATAATATCTAAACTAAAATATAGTTATTGTTTGCTTCAAGCCCGATCCGTTTGTAAATCTACAGGCAAGATGAGGAGGAATTCATGGCTCCCTTGCAAGCAGTTGTTTAACTAGTGGCTAATTGCATGTTTTCCACACTGAATTTTTAGACTTTTCCAACAAGCAGCACCAAAAGGTCTTAGTGGATCACAACAGGCTCTTTTCTGTTCCTTTTCTCCCTAACCCCACCGCTTGCAGATCGCCCCTGGTTGCAGGAGAAAAGCAAAGTGGAGCGGCTACAGAACAACCTGGAGCTGGCCTTCAAGCACATGCTACGGAAGAACCACCGGGAAGGCATCTTGGCCAAGGTGGGCGCTGGTAGGGCTGTAATTAAGATGGGGAAATTATGAAGTCAGTCCACAGAGACTTGGTAAGGATGATCAGGAGGACGGTACAGAGAGAGAAAGAGATGCAGCAAGAAGAAATTCCCCCAGATTCAATAAAATTGCTACTGTATGTCTTTTGGTCAGGTTGCGGCCAGGCTGACTAAAGCAATCTGACCCCTTGTTAGAAGAATACCAGAATGTCTATTTTGATAGAAATCTGATCATTCACTTTCTTGTCCTCTCTGACAGCTGCCCCCGAAAGGGAAGCTTCGGAACCTGTGCTACCAACACATGGAGAAGCTGCGCTCCTTCCGTCAAATGTATCCCATCATTGTCCATGCTGTCTTCCCACCACTGTACAAAGAGCTCTTCAGTTCAGACTGTGACCCTTCCCAGGGAGCAGCAGGGGAATAACCCCCCAATGAGATGGGGTAATTCCCTGAAAGCAGCTGGAACACCATACAGAGATCTCCTCCCACTTCCTCGACCTTTCTGCAATCTCTGCTCTGGGATCTAACCCCAGTATGAGGAAGGATGGAGGGATATCTAGACTGTTGTTAAAGATCCCACACCCCCAGTGCATTCCTGCTCAGCGCATTAAGAAGCGGACAGAGGAGGAAGGATGCCTGCATTTTCAATTTATCCCACCGCTGCCACCAGGTGTCGATATGTGAACTTAAGTAGGTCATTTCGTCCCTAAAGAAAATGGAACAAGACCATGTTGACCAACATCCTCTCCCCAGAACTGTTGAATCAAGGAGATAAGAAACTTCAGAAAAAGTTTGGAAGTTTGACACCATTACAGCAGAAAATATTAATCAAGGGGAAGGTCTTGTGGACAAATAGTTCTCCTAAGAGAGGAGGATGCTTTTGCCATGACGTGGTCTCATGGGAGGGACAACATCCAATGAGCTGCCCATGTTCTAACACCGCAGCCAGGACGGCTGACTGGATAACCCAGAAATACCTCATTTTGCTGTCTGATGAGATGAGACTCAATCAAGCTTTTTTTCCTTGAAACCAAGTTTTTAAGAAATAATATATTATTATAATATATATATATTGTACTTCTATAAGATAGATCTCTATTTTTCAAAGTCTGTCAACTTCAATATTTGATAACAAAAGAGTCCTTCCTTCCCTCCCCCCTCCCATTGTGTCTACACGTATAAACTGATTTTTTTTCAGAGTAGGTGGCAGTTTACCAAAAACAATCAGCCCCCCTACTGCTGCTTTTGCTTTATTTTTTAAAAACGTATTTCAGCTGCAAATGCATTAGATAATGCCCTGGTGCCATACAATACTCATTGATCCGAGACAGGTACAGTATCTTTTTCTGTTTCCCACGTAACCAGAGAATTAGCCAAGTAACCAGTCCTTGCTGTCTAAATGGGTCTTACCCAGCCAAACCATTCAAAAGAGTATAGTGGTTGGCAGAATTCTGGAAAGCAGTGCAACTTCTGTGAGGGAAAGGGGAGGTCACCTTGGGTAAGGAGGGGCCATTCCTGGAGTATCACCACACAACCTGCCTTGCTGTTGTGAGAATGGAAGTAGGGTGGTCTGGGAGTGTAAGAATAAGAGATGGTTCAAGTTGAATTCCTCTAGCTTTTCTGTCTGTGTAACTTTGGGCATCTCTTAGCTGTACTTTTCTCCCTCCTCCTTCAACAGGAGTCAAATCTACATCTATACAGCCAACTTACATTGGTTGATCTTGTCATGGGACCTGTAATTTCCATAGAAGGATGAGGACTATTATGGATAGTCTTTTTTTTCCTTTCATCTTCTCATAGGGCTGTTGTCCATTGTAGTGAGAACATATTCAGTGGCCACATTTTACATGACATTCTCAAGCCATGGTTTGTGTTAGCCATGGTTAGTTTAAGTACTTAAACAACAGTTTGTCATTAGCTTTTATTTCATGATGGGTAACTGAAGCAATAATCCACAGTTCTGGGTACAGAAATAAAAATAAACTATGGTTTCAACAAACCATAATCTCTTGCTGTGGTTTGCAGCTAGTTAGCAAACCATGGCTTGTTTTCAGGACTGAACAGGAAACCAGGATTCAGCAAACCAAAACCTGGCCTACTCTTCTATTCAAATCTGTCACCCACATGGTTGGTTTATGTGAACCCACAAAAGATGTATGCCCTAAGAAATTAAAGATAACAGAGTTCCATTGTAAACCTGGCCTACTCTTCTATTCAAATCTGACTTTTTTTGCTAATATTTAATGCACTGAGTAATTTAGTTCAAAACAACATGGTCAAATGTCACCCACATGGTTGATTTATGTGCACCCACAAAAGATGTATGCCCAAAGAAATTAAAGATAAAAGGTTCCATTGGTTGTCTTCCATTTTCCCCTCAAGACTTCTCAGAATTTTACAGTAATTTAAGAATGCTGATGCAACAACTAATGTCATGGTGAATAGCAAAGCTATTTTTGAAAAGAGAGAAATTTTATATTTGAGATACTTGTGTTTCTCTTCGTGTGTGTGTGTGCGAGAGAGAGAGAGAGGAAAGAATGCCCGTTGGCGGCACTGCTTTGACATGATGGGGACAAAGTTATTTTTAAAATTTCTTATATCTTTTATAAGGGCAGGGGCATAATCTTCAGTGTAACTTTGTGCTCCTGGAAGCTAAAAGTTCAGCCATATAACGAACCACTTTTGAGCGCTCTTTAGTTTTCTCAGCTTTTTCTGGCAAAATGGGTCTAAAATAGGTTGCTTTTCTCTACACACACACACACACATTTTGTATGCCCCTTTTTAACCTCCTGAATCCATGAATGGGGTCCGCTTTTCAATTTTCAGTCTATCTGCAAAGCCTCCCTTTTCTCTTGAAACCTGAATGCAGGAGACCTTACGCGCCTGTTGCCCCTCTGTACATGAACCAGAGTCCTCACCTCCAGCAGAGAGAGCTGTTTGTTATGAGTTTGTTAAAACAATTGTTTTTCCTCACAGTGACATGAAATTTTGCCACACTTGGGGGGGGGGGAGCAGGGAAGCGGCTGGATCTGAAAACAATTTGACTCTAATTGTTTCCTTGTCAGTCTGAATAAATCTTTCACACATCCTCGGCTCCAGGCAGGATAGCCAATGGTGAGGAGGAATGATGGGGCCTGTAGTCCAATAGCAGCCGGACAGTTGCAGTCCTTGGCAAAACTCTCTTGTCAGCTCTTTGGATGATTGCACTCTCTTGAGTAGCATGGAGGGTTGAGGTGAGGAGGTGTGTGCGAATTCAGCAGGCTGGATATGCCGAGAAGAGCTTCACCTTATAGCCTTGGGAATCCGAGACAATTGGAGCTTTAATCCGCTGGTTCCCAACTTTGAGTCCCCAGATGTTCTTGGACTAAAACCCCCAGAAGACTTTGCTGCTATTTGTGCTGGTCAGGATTTCTGGGAGTTGTAGTCCGAGAACATCTGGCGATCCAAGGTTGGGAGCCACTACTTTAATCAATGTTAAGGAAAGACCAAACCCAAGTTAGAACATCGAAATCCTTCCTGCTAGATTTCCAGGAAGTGTATAAATGTTCTAATAATTTTTAATCTGCCCAAGACTGCAAAATGGGGAGACCTTGTTGCATCCATCCATTCTCGCAATGCATCTCATTGACAAAAGTTATATTTGATATGTTCCATTACCAGCTCTCCTCATCTGCTTTACGTTGTCTGTCGTCTTACCTCTTCTGTTGCATATTTTAAAGGAAAATATGTTTCTTTGTTTGGATGTTGTTTTTAAAAAAATCTGTTTCAAATATTTAAATAGTTCTTTTGTCGTGTAAATATTTGTTTTAAAAAACCGTTTAATTTTAAGAAAATAATAACGAGTTTAGAGCAATTATTCTTCTAAAATGTACGACAGAAATATTTTAGTTTACTTTTTAATTTAATTAAAATGATGGTGCATATTAACATGAGTAGTTGGTTTATTTAGCCTCTCTGCTGCTTGGCTGAGGTTCATGTGAATAAATACTGAGTCCAGAAATTTGGTGTATTAACTTGCATATTAAACATGGGGTACAAATATGGGGTACAAAAATGTTTTAATGAAGGAAAAACACTGCATTATGAGACAGCAGAACTAGGCAAGGAGCTTTATTCAGTCTGAATGTCACCAGTTAGGCTGCTTTCAGATTGAGATTGGTCATAAGGAAGTACATGAATATTCTGCTCATGCAGACATGGAGGTTTGAAGAAAATGTGTATCAGAAGGGAAATGTTGCAACAGTAGGAAATACAAATTGCTCTTTATGTGTGATATGACCTGGTGACAGATCCTATTTTTCTGACTTCTGGCCCTGGTAAATCTTACTGGTTCTTATTGTGGTGTTTGGGGATTGCCCTCTTAAAAATAAAACAGTGTTTCCCTAACTTTTCAGTGCCGGTGGGCTTATCTTGACACTCAAATAAGGCAACTTGTTCTGTCTGGCGTGGGAAGGGCAGTCTCGTGTTGAGGCACACGTCTGAATGGCAAAGAACCCAGAATTAAACCTCATTCCCTGAAACTAGAGTTAAAAAAAAAAAAAGACTCCAGCCTAGAAATTTGAAACTCTACCCAATCCAACCTTTGCCTGGACATAAAGTGGGCATTTAGACCCATTCCTGAATTAAAGTCCACTCCTGACTTTAAGCACAAGAGGGGCTCTGAGTTGCAGCAGTATATCTTTGAGGAGTGGGTTTCAGAGATGCACAAGAGGTGAGCTGAGTTCTTTTTGCCCCCCCCCCGGCATTGGGGTCCCTTGCCAAAGTCACAAGCCCTTGATCCAACAGAGCCCGCCCTCCTCGGGTCCTTTGGGGACTCCTTTTTAATCTTTCGCCTTGGCTGCCTTGCTCTGCGAGACTCCTCCGTTTTGTTTTCTTTACTGTGATGTGTACTGAGTGGCTTTTTAAAAAAAAAAGAAAAGAAAAGAACCAAAAAAACAAGGGGAAAAAAACCTCCGGCATGGAACATTCCTTTGGCAAAATGACATTCACGTGGCTGGAAGAGCAGAGAGCGAGAAGCACATCCTTCTGAGCCGTTCCGTCACCAGAGTTAGCTCAAAGCCTCTCTCTGCCTGCACGCTTCCAGGTAAGGCCATTTGTTTCTTTCTGATGCTTTCCCCCAGTTGCTTAAGGGTATAAGGGACAACTTTTGGGAGGAAGAAAACCCTATGGATGCAACTTCTTTGGGGTTCAGAAAGCCTAGAAGCTTCAGGGGAGCGGGTTCGCAAAACTCTTGAAGGCAAAGGAGGAGTGTCAGAGGTCAGTGGGATCTGGAAGATGGGGGGGTCCCTCTTTTTGTGGGACGGCCAAGCGAGAAAATACCCCTAGAAAACCACTCAGAACAGGTTAATGCTTGGCTGGGTGGGGAAAGGGTCTGAGATCAACCGAGAGAAGCAGATCCATCACTTACAGACAAAGCAGAAGGCTGCAGATTCAATTCCTGGTCCCTCCAGCCAGGCCTCAGAAAGACTGCATTCTGAAACCCAGCATCCACTCAATGGGGACAGCTGTGAGTTACATGAAGAAGACAGGTTTCCACGGGGCTCGGCGTTGAGAAATCTCTCCCCATAACGTTAGAGCCCGATCGATTTTCTCGGTCGGAGGCTCTGGGCTCAGTTCTGAAGAAGCACGGCAGTCTCACACAATGCCTCATGAGCCGGTGGAACTCCCTGCCACAAGCTGTTCCAGCACCTCTAGAATATTTTTCTTGGCCTGAAGGGAAGTCATCAACAGCTTGGCTGTTTTCTTTCATAATGGGGGCCAGCTGATCTGGGGGAGAGAGTGATAGATGGGACACGTTCTCCTCTTTAAGGGGAATAATTGTGTCTGAGAGCCCTCTAACCCCCCCGCCGCCCAGTTTTCATCTTACAAGAGATAGCCTTCGAGCCGCTCAGCATATTTTCAGTCCTAGATGGAATTAAAAGCTGTTCCGTTTAAGAATACTACAGATGTCTGATGTTTTCATGTTCGTTTTTTAAAAAGAGGGAAGTGCTAATAAGATTCCGTCCGTAGCTTTTGCTTATAATCTTGGTGGGGACATTTTGGTGATGTTTTGGAGATATGATGCATATCAGCATCTCTCTCCTCCTTCAAACGCTCATATTTCTTCCTTGTTTAAAGAAAAGAAAGACAGAAAGCCCCAGCAGAGAACAATGTAAAATCTGGTTTCTGATTCCATCTCCAGATTAAAACGAAAGGAAGTCTCCAGGCTGCCAGAGCTGAAAAATAAATCATAGCTTAAAATTCAAATTGCAAGGACTGAAGACTAAAAGAAGCTAGGAGCTAAGGGTGGAATGATCCACTGCATCCATATACAAGCTTGTAGAATACTCCTGGTTAATGAACATACTGATGGGGTGGTGAGTCTCATTTCTGGAGGACTGTAAATCCACTCTGGGTTTTAGTCTGCACTTTGCAAGCATGATCCTAGGTGTCACTGTGATGGTGGAGCCTTCTAGGGATTATCACTTAATGCACAGTAGCACAGTGGTAAGTCTGGATGGTGCTCATCATAATGGTCCTCATATCCAGCGCCCCAGCTAAGGACAGTCCATAAATATAGGCAGCTGGAGAGAGCCATATCTGCAAATGAGGAACAGGTCTTTTGCGAAGCTAATGGCTCTCAATTGCTCATTCAAACCCAGACAGCAGTCCAGAATGTTAGGAGGCTTACAGATCAGCTCAGAGGACCTTGAAAGGGGGTGAGTGATGGTGTCATAATCCCTGCTTGTCAGAAAACTTCTGCCATGAGCCTTGGCAGAAAAGGATCTCTCCTAAACTTGGATTCATGCACAGATTAGCAAAATCTGCTCCGGAGAGGAGAAGCTATGTCGAGAATGGGTGCTTAATTTTTCCTCGCGGGTGGTCTCTCAGCCTGTGGTGCACAAATGCACCATCAGAAGGTGTCTCATATACGGGAGGTGCCTACAACGCCCATCAGAATCTCTCTCTCTCACAAACACACACATACCCCCCACTCTCTCAACAGCAGTGTTTGATTTGTAACTTCTGGTTCATCGGTTCTGAGGCTAATCATAGCAGCCAAGTCCCCAAGAGCGAATTTGCGCCTGGCGCACTCCTGGGTTGAGGGCTCTGATGCTGACAGTTCGTGTGCTCAAACCGAGCCCCTGAGACCTTACCCACAGCCGCCAAACCCTTGCGTGCGGTTCGCAGCTGCCAGCTGTGCAACTGAGGACTGGTAGCCGAGGGTCTCAAGGAAGGATGTGTGTTGAGGGTGTGTGGAAATCCAACTCTCCCACCTCCGGGTCCATGCGATGGTTTACAGAGTTAGATCTCTTTGGGGGCAAATTCTGGGAGGTTCGGAGGAGGTGCCTGGGCGCTGTCGTACACCACTTTCCACCAGCCCCCGCATCAGCGACGATGGGCTTTGTTGTCCATCAGCAGCTGGAGAGATTCTATTCTTTCTGGGCAGGTTTTGAGACAGAGGTAGAAATGCCACCTCTC